CAAATGAAATCTGAATGATGAACTGATGGAGAAGGAATGATTTGTAGTGAAACTTCTCAATCTGAGAGATAAATTATAACTGAAATCAATATTTTGTAGTTAATTCCAATATCAATGCAATTAACCAAAGTTGCGCCATATCAGCACACAGCATAAAATACAATGCTACAATGTCACGATTCTGATTTTCAATGTTCCGATGTATTTTCCAGGTTATTCACAGCAAAGTCCCCAAATGATGCCTCAAATGATGCCTCCAATGATGTCTCCCATGATACCTCCGATGGTGCCTCCAATGATGTCCCCCATGATGCAAAGTGCTATGATGGATCCCACAGCTATGATGAGGAGTTGGAACACTGCCAATTCACCCCGATACAGTGTCTCTGAACCTAGTGGGGAGGAGCAAGGTAACTAGCATTTATTTCTTCTTTATATCATTTAGTTTTTCAAAAGTTCTAGGAGCTTGTATTCATCTTTTGAAGTTTTGGTTTACAAAAACTACAGATTAAAGAAACTTGTAACTGATTTTCAATAAATTTTATTGATGAGATGAGATTTTTGGCGGAGTACATATAAAAAAATAAAATAATATGTTGTGTGCTTTGAACGGCAATCTTAGTTATGTGGAAAAGGCCCCAAAATTTCGGATTTGCTCTAATGTAACAAAATATGGCCTGTCTTTCGAATGTCGAACTATTCGACATTTCTAATTCGTTGATTTTCTTCGATTATCATTTCTTGACTTTGTTGTAAGTAAAGCAGAATGCCAGTAGAATTAATTTTGATATTTTGGGGCTTATTTTCTTACAAGAAAAGTAGTTAGTAGTTAATAGTAATACAGTCGAACTTTTCGATCAGTTTCAATATAATATCATAATTAGATATGAACAGATTTTCATATAAAATAAAAATTTCAAAAATGAAAATAAGCCCCAAAATTCTCTGCAGAGAAGTTAAGCAGGGATCAAATGCAATCAACCAGCCCTAACGTCCCTCGTATAATCGAAGAAAAAACAGCCGGCTCCCTCCGCAACACTCCTCCTCCGGCAATCTCACTTCCTGTTGAAAACGTACCAAAGCTGAAGACTGCACCTCACATAGTGGTACCTAACATGATGGTACCTAATATAGTGGTACTTGAGCCTACTTCTGTACCGGACTCCTCCCAGAGGATCAGGGATGATAACTCGTCCCAGAGGAAGGACGATAACTCGTCCACTTTGGGGCAGATTACTGAGTTAGATCACGATCATGCTCTATTATCTAGGGATGATCTATCTGAAATGGTTACTAAACGAGACTCTGATCCAACCAACCCCATCACCAATCCAATCAGTACATTCCAAGTTGATCTAACAATCAAACAAACAACTAAGATCAGCTATCACGATTCAGTCCTTCTCAAAGAACCGAAGAATCACCCCAGTAAAATCATACACATCCCAAGCTCAAGAGATCCTAAGAAAATACGAGGCTTCCTCGTTCCTAAGGACTTTGAGCCGGTTAAGACCTGCAAACGCAGAGAGTTGCCCCCTGAAAGTGTGCCGCTAAAATGCCAACATGACCTGCCTGTTGATAATAGAAAAGGGAGTTGCTCTCTGCACGGTGCCAACATTGGATTTGTGTGTACGTGTGTAGATGACTAGGGGGTTTGTGGGTGTTTTAGGATTTTGTTTTAACATTAGTGTACATTTTCACTTTTCAGACATCGACTAATTTCAGGATTTAATTTAATGGTATCATGAATATATTAAATGTTAATTGCTGCACAGCTACAGTTTACTTGTCTCAGATTGAATTTTCGGTCAAAATTACCATTGCATTTGTTAATGACGATTGATTTAATATTTTTAGGTTTGATTTTTATAATTATATGAGACATTAATATGACTGTTATTAATTATAATTAACATAGGAATATGAGTATTGAGTATGAGGATCCCCAACCAAATGTGCATTTTAAGGTAGAGAAGGTTACCCTATAATTATAATATGATTCGGTTTTTGTTTGTTTTATTTCTGGCCTGTGCAAGTGCAAAGTGTACGACATAGTTCCATTTTAGTTAATCGAGCATTCTAAATCTAAACACTAAATAACTCATGTTAATTGTTAAACCTACAGCTGATTTAACAGGACTAACGATTCAACATTCCCCAGAAAATCCCGGTAAATTGTGGTTTCAGTAAACTCTCAGCTGGAGCATGGACAATGGAGGGTATAATTGATAATTATATACGTCAATTCTAGGGAAAATATTTTAGGGAATATTCTAGGGAAAATCCTAGGGAAAATATTCACTATCTCATAATTTCATAAAATGTTATCGTCGCGTCGCTGGTCGCAATGGCATTGTGTAATTGTAACACAATGCATTACTGCATTACTTCATTATGATTATAATGATATGTTGGGGTCATTAGCTATTTTATGCACAAGTTTTAATATTCAAGTTGACAATGGTCACCGCCATTTTGGCTAGAGATTATTAGTAAAAAGATGCTTTCTCATTTCTTAAAACTACTTTTCATTGACTAAAGAGTGAACACGTCTTTTTACACAATAACAAGTTTTGGGAATCTCTTTTCATCAATCAATAATAATGGCCATGACTATTGTCAACCTGAAGATTCGATTGTATTTGCAATTAGTAAAGCAAATATGCATCCTGAGAAATTTATTGCCCGACCAGAGACCTTGTCTCAGTCACATACATTTGTTAAATATTGGACAATGAGTGACGTGAGATAAATAGTTTATTTGCGGCTCTTCTGATCGTTCACAGTTCACACTTGCGTTTCAATAAAAGTATCTGGGATAGTAAGTAAAAATACCAGGGAAGAACCGAGATTTACCTGTGCGCGGCGCTCTTTTCAAGCTTCCTGATACGTGAGAGAAGCGAGCAATAGACTAGCAAGAATCTAGATAAAACCAAGATATAACTTAAAGTGAAAGACCCGATCTGCGGTCACAATAGGATAAATACTCATAGTAATACATCTGTTACGAAGAATTCGCAAAAATTTAAACTATGTTGAAGCAAATTTTATTTCAGAATGACAATATTTAAAAGTGCCCCCTTTTCATTTAAGAAGTATCTATATAAATTTTCCAAAAATGCCTCTTCCTATTCCGACGATTTTTCATTCCAAACAAAACGCAAAAATGTAACACACAATCAAAATCCCAGTAAACTGATTTGTGAGATACTGGGTTCAAGAAATATTATTTCCGAAAATGGGAAAATATGATTTTCCATTTTGTATTGCTTACCACTTCTTTGGTGATCTAAGCTCAGTTTTTAAAATACTGCTGACCCATGCTCTGGATGTTTACCAATATTGTTGCTGCAAATAAAGTTAACTATTTGTATTATACTTAACTCTACTGAAGATGCAAAAGTGAAAAAATGTTGTCAAATGTCATATCAAGTCAATGCGTCAAAATGTTCAGTAAAACATATAGCCATTAATTAATTAGTGCCTACCTTATCGGACCTTATTTGGACGGATATTACTTGAACGGACATAATTATGGACGGACATTTATATGAACGCTAGAAGGCAATCAAAACCATAAAAAAATCCGAATTTTGTTGAACTTTTTTTTAAACGTTTTTTTTTTGATTTTAGCAAATGATTTTTAAATCCATTTTTATACACTAAGCAAGAAAAGCAGTCTATAATAAGTAAAAATGTTAAAATATGTGTACATGATCATTATCTAATATCACATATAATCTTCATCAAATGGGTTTTCGTGCAGGGAGATATCCCGGTTTGTCTTCTACTTTATCGAGATGGGTGGTATGGTAGAAGGTATCGTAGCTGACATAAGCCACCGAAGGTCGCCTATACCAAGTGGGGAGCTAGAGATAAAGCTTAAGCTGCAGTACTTTAGGCATTCAAGTATTTCTCTAGTAGATCAGTTGGGATCGTTCATTGCCCGGTACGACTACGAGTTGGACAGACAACCAGTTGTAAGACAAAATGAGGTAGAAGAAGCCGAAGATCAACTTCAAGATAGTGAATATCATGCAATAATGTGATATTTAAAATTCAGATTGTTAAAATTTTATGATACCTTGTTTTTATTGATTCAACGATATTGTTTATTTTAATGATAGCAATTGAAATTTACTGAAATTAAAAAGTTGTCATATTCTGGACAAAAAGTTCTAAATGGAAAAATTTTGACGGACTTTAACTTGGAGTTGGACGGACATTAATTGAACGGACTTTACTTGAACGGACATTAACCTGAACGCTAGGGCCTCCAGCGTTCAAGTAATTTCCGTCAAGGTATATTTATAATCACGTCAATTAAGGATATTTATTCAGGAAGCAGACACTCCAATCAAAACTTCAAGTTTCATTTTGAACCGAAACAACACATTGTGGGAAACGAATGTGACATAAAGTTCAATAAACATACTTTCCCAGCTCAAACAGAAGGTTTGCAGAACAAAATGAGCAATGTGTGTTCAGTGATGAGCCTGCGGATGTCTACGAGTACCGCGAACACGGCACTGGACTACAATTAGGGGAGCAAAATAACAATTTTCTGCTCCAGGAAGACCCTGCTAGAAATACAACCAGCAGTCCCGCCAAGACTGCAGGTGGTTCCTGTGTATATGTTGGCTCTCTGACCACTCCACTTGACTATGAGGACTCGGACGGACTATGAGGACTCGGACGGGCTTGACGATTAAGGAGCAGCCAGAACTTTATTACTTTAATACAACGCAACTTTCATTATTTGCGGTTTATTTGTTATTTAGTTTTGCAACCTCAATTTCTCGTTTTACGCTACCGAACAAAACCATGCTATAAAAATAGTTTAGTGTTTATTATTTTGTTTAAAAGTTATTGTTTTTTAGATTTGAATAGAAATATTTCTTGACAGTGTTTATTTTGGGAAGCTTTACTATTTTTGAAATGAATTTTATAATTATACTGTTTCACTTTCATTGGGAAGGGTAAGCAGATAAAGTCACATGTTACTCATTGAGTTATATGAAATGCGCGTAGAGTATGAAGAATATATTATTATAAACATCTCTCAAATCGAGCATATAAATATAACTATATCATAATTAATCACAGGATCTTATAATTAATTATGATATAACCATACAAAATAGTTTGCAACCAGTAAAAAATGGGATTTCTGAAAAGTGCAGGCAAATCCCGAATGCAAGCAATTACTACCGTAGTCAAGATAACAATATTTTACAGGAAAGCTAAAAGAAAAATAATAATTGTAGAAAATAATTTAGCGATAAAATCATAAAAAGAAATTTAATCATCAACTGTAAACTAGCGTATAAATTTACTTTAAACACCTCTTCTCTACTGTACAAAAGCAGCTATCAAAGCGATCATCTTAATTAAAAAACCCTGCGGTATAAACCCTCTTTCACTAGTTACTCGTGGTCATTGTCAATAAATAAAGCAATTTTGAACAACAATAAAATATCAAAGAAGAATTTTACTTGTCTCAGATTTGGTTCCTAAAGTCTGTTTAGATTTACTCAGGTGCAGCGTTCATGTAATACCTTCCGCCACCAAGTTGGAAGACTTGGCCTTCAGCGTAGGGGGTCTTGAGGCATACCACACAACGTGCAACTCCTGGTAGTTTTGTAAGGTTAGTTTAATTATCTTAATAATATTGTTATCTTGACTACGGTAGTATTAAACTTTTAATTATTTTATATTTATCATTCGGCATAGAAAGTGACAAGAAATTTAATAGTTAGGGTAAAATGGCTAACTTAATTAACAAAGATCAAATAAACAATGGATAATAAAAATGCAACAAACCTCTATCCTTAATGTCATCAACTCCGTTGTATACGCTTCCCATACCCCACATACCGGGTTGTAGGAGGTCCTGAATTATTGTTCGTCGATAAAAAAGATAATATTGAATAATGTGCCGTAATTATTGGTAATTTTGAGCAGCATAAAATTCTATTGAAACATGATATGTGCGATATAAAATTATTTTATAAATTAACCAACAACTGCACCTAACGAATTCATTGCTAACAAACAAGCAATAATTTAAAAAGTATGTTGTTCATAAATGTTATCATACCGGATTTCTTGCGAGCCAGAAGTCGATATTATTAGTGAAGAAGGAGCAGGTTCCTCGTCCATTGCACTCAATGAACATAGGGTTACTCATGGTCTCGTGGCAGGATCCTACAGACTTCAGTTGTTGTCCCATGCCCATTTTACCGGACTTGCCCTGTGTAATGGTGGTGTGAGGTTATCAACAATTAAACATTTTAGTAGAGTACGTGATTTTTACTTCGTGGAGATTATAATATCATTTATGATTATTTGTCCTTCGAAGCAATATCCCATTGGGGCTCGCTATTATCAACCAGTTAGCCAAATTTGATTAACTGCGTGTCAACCGTGCTCTATGAGGCCAATAATTGTTTATCGACAGATAACAAAGTTGTCATATGTAAAATGTTATTAATTACCATGATGTAACTGAATCCAGTCCAGAGCTCGCTCCATCCTGGATCACAAACTGGTGCAGCAACATCTGTGGAGTGCTTCACGATAGGAGCTTGAGTTCCCATACAGGCCTGCAGGATGGTTGGAATTATTGAAGGGAAATTTTTTGATTTGTGAAATAAGTAGAGAGTCGATTGAATAAAATGGTGAGATTGATAACTGATCCTTGGTGATAATTAAAGGAAACAGTGCTTTTGTCTTTCTAGGCAATCCATATATTATATAAAAATATCATTTTCCCGTAAAAATCTCGAAGCCAGCCTTTGAAGTCTAATAAAGTAATAACACTAATGTGATTTAATGCAAACTTTTAGTCCGAACTATTAAAGATCAGCAGATTTTCGACTGATAGATTGGATAATCTCGATTGCTGTATAGATTCCTGCAGACTTGGTCTAATTGCATTCTTGGGACTCTATCATGACCCTGTCTCTGATAGAGTACTATTCCGAATCTTCGATAGAATTCGTTATAAATGGAGATTATCATATTCTTGAATATACATCAATTGTTCTAAAAAGGCTCTTATGTACCAAATAGGTTATATTATGCAATCTTATTAAAGTAAAACCCCGATTTACCGCGGAGTTTGGGGGAAAGGAAACTTTCGTGGTTAAATCGGGGTTCGCGGTAAATTGGGGAGCGGTAATCAGGGTTTCACTGTAGTTTATGTTTCAGTCAAAAACCAGCGTTCACTACGTAGTTTTCACACAAAAGCTCCATCCATCTCAGTAGACAAATTGAAAACTTCTGCGCCGCAGAAGTTTCACGGTAAATCAGTGAAACCCTGATTTACCGCGCCCCGATTTACCGCGAACCCCGATTTACCGCGAAAGTTTCCTTTCCCCCAAACTCCGCGGTAAATCGGGGTTTTACTTTAATAAGATTGCATAATATAACCTATTTGGTACATAAGAGCCTTTTTAGAACAATCGATGTATAAATCAAGAATATGATAATCCCATTTATAACGAATTCTTTCGAAGATTCGGGAATAATACTCTATCAGAGACAGGGTCATGATAGACTCCCAAGAATGCAATTAGACTAAGTCTGCAGGAATTTATACAGCAATCGAGATTATCCAATCTATCAGTCGAAAATCTGCTGATCTTTAAAAGTTCGGACGTGACCAAACTTTGCACTAAATCACATTAATGTTATTACTTTATTAGACTACAAAGGCTAAGACACACTACTATCAATATAATCGCTATTATCCCTAAATCAATACTTCTAAGTCAAGGATGGCCAGCGCCGTGTTGCTAAAAATAACTTTAAAAACCATTTCTAACGACTAAACCGACTATTGGCCAATGACATGTTGATGTACATAAAATAATACATGTGATTAGTCCTAAACCCTGGCGAATAAACAATGATACTATTCAGTACTGTACTGAATAGTAGCAATGTTTATTCGCCAGGGTTTACGATACGAGTTAATAAAACAAATATTTAATAAAACAAATATTTATTTTTAATATCAATAATTTATAAATCAGGGGAGGTTTGAAGAGGTTTCAAGTGCCGAAGGCCACTGCTTATCTTTAGGATTTGAGAGTGACCTGTGCTTGAAACCCCCTCAACCATCCACTTATACGTCAATATACTTATTATACAAATATAGAAAAATATAATAATCTAAAATTGCCTATTGGTCTAGTTTGGTGACACAGGAGAGCCCAGTTGAGTTTTAGTTTAGGTTTTGGTTTTAAATCATAGTTTAAAAGGTTAGCCATGTTTCATGGCAGAGATAGATATCATGTGTGCAGAGCCGTACCGGATGTAGAATTTGAGATATAATATAGATTAGTTACCATGTATTAGGGTCATCTCGATTTTGGAAGGATAGCAAGTGCTTTTTAAGGTTAGATTTAATAATACCTGACGAGGCTGATAAGTCTGAATTTTTGGAAGAACCCGGGATTATTATCCCATCTTCATTAGCATCACATATTTCGAATACATAGGGGATGAGATCATCCCACATTTTTATAGAGGTGTACAAAAAGTTCTGTTGGGAGATATCTAACCTGATCAATAATGGGACAATCAGACGAAGTTTATCATTTCTAGGACAGAACAGTTTCTAGGACAGGACAGTTTACACTCGGTCACTTGTCAAGGCATGTAAGGTCATTCGGCGATATTTTCTTTGAAATAAAATGATGTATTTGTGTAACAATTTGAAAGTTTATTGATTTAAAAAAAAACTTGAAAAGATCTTTAATCGACTGGGGGACATCAAATTTGAGAATTTTGAATAGTTCCATAAATGTATGGTACATGTGCAGATTCTTCAGGTTCATAATTTTACAATAGCTTAGATGTGACATAAAAAGAGCATTGTATAGTTTCAAATATTCAGATCCGCAGAACTCAGTGCTGAGTTCTGCGGAGAATTCTGCGTAATACAAAACACTTGGTATATATTTTGTAGGTATAACTATAATATATCCAATATTTCACATGGCACATGTTATAACACATCTTAATCATTTATCTTTAAAGCTGAACTCTAGTAGCATCGATTAAGAGAATTTGCAAATTCATTCCCAAATCTGAATATTTGAAACTATACAATGCTCTTTTTATGTCACATCTTAGCTATTGTATAAGTTGCTGGGGTGGGATCCCTAAACATAAGCTGAATAACATATTTGCAATTGAAAAACGATGTATAAAACTGCTATTTGGTAACATTCCCAATTTTGATCATAAAGAATACTACTTAACCTGTGCACGTTCAAGAACTTATAACGAACATATAGCTAGCAAGAACTACTGTCTTGAACACACTAAACCGCTATTGATCACTGAGCAGAAAATTATGAACCTAGAGAATCTGCACATGTACCATACATTTATGGAACTATTCAAAATTCTTAAATTTGATGTCCCCCAGTCGATTAAAGATCTTTTCAAGTTCTGTCCTAGAAATGATAAACTTCGTCTGATTGTCCCATTACTGATCAGGTTAGATATCTCCCAACAGAACTTTTTGTACACCTCTACAAAAATGTGGGATGATCTCATCCCCTATGTATTCGAAATATGTGATGCTAATGAAGATGGGATAATAATCCCGGGTTCTTCCAAAAATTCAGACTTATCAGCCTCGTCAGGTATTATTAAATCTAACCTTAAAAAGCACTTGCTATCCTTCCAAAATCGAGATGACCCTAATACATGGTAACTAATCTATATTATATCTCAAATTCTACATCCGGTACGGCTCTGCACACATGATATCTATCTCTGCCATGAAACATGGCTAACCTTTTAAACTATGATTTAAAACCAAAACCTAAACTAAAACTCAACTGGGCTCTCCTGTGTCACCAAACTAGACCAATAGGCAATTTTAGATTATTATATTTTTCTATATTTGTATAATAAGTATATTGACGTATAAGTGGATGGTTGAGGGGGTTTCAAGCACAGGTCACTCTCAAATCCTAAAGATAAGCAGTGGCCTTCGGCACTTGAAACCTCCCCTGATTTATAAATTATTGATATTGTTTGATTGTGCTTGAAAAATAATTATTTGTTTTATTAAATATTTGTTTTATTAACTCGTATCGTAAACCCTGGCGAATAAACAGTGCTACTATTCAGTACAGTACTGAATAGTATCATTGTTTATTCGCCAGGGTTTAGGACTAATCACATGTATTATTTTACGTACATCAACATGTCATTGGCCAATAGTCGGTTTAGTCGTTAGAAATGGTTTTTAAAGTTATTTTTAGCAACACGGCGCTGGCCATCCTTGACTTTGAAGTATTGATTTAGGGATAATAGTGATTATATTGATAGTAGTGCGTCTTAGCCTTTGTAGTCTAATAAAGTCATAACATAGGAACATTAATGTTGATTTAGTGCAAACGTTTGGTCACGTTTTTGTAGAGGTGTACAAAAAGTTCTGTTGGGAGATATCTAACCTGATCAATAATGGGACAATCAGACGAAGTTTATCATTTCTAGGACAGAACAGTTTCTAGGACAGGACAGTTTACACTCGGTCACTTGTCAAGGCATGTAAGGTCATTCGGCGATATTTTCTTTGAAATAAAATGATGTATTTGTGTAACAATTTGAAAGTTTATTGATTAAAAAAAAAAAACTTGAATAGATCTTTAATCGACTGGGGGACATCAAATTTGAGAATTTTGAATAGTTCCATAAATGTATGGTACATGTGCAGATTCTTCAGGTTCATAATTTTACAATAGCTTAGATGTGACATAAAAAGAGCATTGTATAGTTTCAAATATTCAGATCCGCAGAACTCAGAGCTGAGTTCTGCGGAGAATTCTGCGTAATACAAAACACTTGGTATATATTTTGTAGGTATAACTATAATATATCCAATATTTCACATGGCACATGTTATAACACATCTTAATCATTTATCTTTAAAGCTGAACTCTAGTAGCATCGATTAAGAGAATTTGCAAATTCATTCCCAAATCTGAATATTTGAAACTATACAATGCTCTTTTTATGTCACATCTTAGCTATTGTATAAGTTGCTGGGGTGGGATCCCTAAACATAAGCTGAATAACATATTTGCAATTGAAAAACGATGTATAAAACTGCTATTTGGTAACATTCCCAATTTTGATCATAAAGAATACTACTTAACCTGTGCACGTTCAAGAACTTATAACGAACATATAGCTAGCAAGAACTACTGTCTTGAACACACTAAACCGCTATTGATCACTGAGCAGAAAATTATGAACCTAGAGAATCTGCACATGTACCATACATTTATGGAACTATTCAAAATTCTTAAATTTGATGTCCCCCAGTCGATTAAAGATCTTTTCAAGTTCTGTCCTAGAAATGATAAACTTCGTCTGATTGTCCCATTACTGATCAGGTTAGATATCTCCCAACAGAACTTTTTGTACACCTCTACAAAAATGTGGGATGATCTCATCCCCTATGTATTCGAAATATGTGATGCTAATGAAGATGGGATAATAATCCCGGGTTCTTCCAAAAATTCAGACTTATCAGCCTCGTCAGGTATTATTAAATCTAACCTTAAAAAGCACTTGCTATCCTTCCAAAATCGAGATGACCCTAATACATGGTAACTAATCTATATTATATCTCAAATTCTACATCCGGTACGGCTCTGCACACATGATATCTATCTCTGCCATGAAACATGGCTAACCTTTTAAACTATGATTTAAAACCAAAACCTAAACTAAAACTCAACTGGGCTCTCCTGTGTCACCAAACTAGACCAATAGGCAATTTTAGATTATTATATTTTTCTATATTTGTATAATAAGTATATTGACGTATAAGTGGATGGTTGAGGGGGTTTCAAGCACAGGTCACTCTCAAATCCTAAAGATAAGCAGTGGCCTTCGGCACTTGAAACCTCCCCTGATTTATAAATTATTGATATTGTTTGATTGTGCTTGAAAAATAATTATTTGTTTTATTAAATATTTGTTTTATTAACTCGTATCGTAAACCCTGGCGAATAAACAGTGCTACTATTCAGTACAGTACTGAATAGTATCATTGTTTATTCGCCAGGGTTTAGGACTAATCACATGTATTATTTTACGTACATCAACATGTCATTGGCCAATAGTCGGTTTAGTCGTTAGAAATGGTTTTTAAAGTTATTTTTAGCAACACGGCGCTGGCCATCCTTGACTTTGAAGTATTGATTTAGGGATAATAGCGATTATATTGATAGTAGTGCGTCTTAGCCTTTGTAGTCTAATAAAGTCATAACATAGGAACATTAATGTTGATTTAGTGCAAACGTTTGGTCACGTCCGAACTTTTAAAGATCAGCAGATTTTCGACTGATAGATTGGATAATCTCGATTGCTGTATAGATTCCTGCAGACTTAGTCTAATTGAATTCTTGGGAGTCTATCATGACCCTGTCTCTGATAGAGTATTATTCCCGAATCTTCGAAAGAATTCGTTATAAATGGGGATTATCATATTCTGAATTATACATCGATTGTTCTAAAAAGGCTCTTATGTACCAAATAGGTTATAATATATTATGCAATCTTATTAAAGTAATACCCAGAATTACCGCGGAGTTTGGGGGAAAGGAAACTTTTGCGGTAAATCGGGGTTCGCGGTAAATCGGGGCGCGGTAAATCAGGGTTTCGCTGTAGTTTATATTTCAGTCAAAAACCAGCTTTCACTACGTAGTTTTCACACAAAGCTCCATCCATCTCAGTAGAGAAATTGAAAACTTCTGCGGAATACAAAACACTTGGTATATATTTTGTAGGTATAACTATAGTATATCCAATATTTCACATGGCACATGTTATAACTGGTATCCTAAACCCTGGCGAATAAACATTGTATTATTTTATGTACATGTCATTGGCCAATAGTCGTTATAGTCGTTAGAAATGGTTTTTTAGGTTATTTTTAGCCAACACGGCGCTGGCCATCCTTGATTTTGAAGGATTATGTTAGGGATAATAGCGATTCTATTGATACTTCGGCCGTGATTTCACTGCCGCAGTTTAAAAGGGTAGGAAAAATTCCCCGCCGAGTCAAAACCCGCATTAGGTGACCCAATAGTATCTTTATAGAAATTAACCCTTGTTAACTCCGCATGCCACACCCGCCTATTATATTTGGAAACACGCATAACATTGTCGTATGAACTCTCTCTCTGCAGTCCAAACAGACCCCAAACACTAAAGCACTAACAGTCCCCTCTCCCCTAACTCCCTAATAAGCTTATGGTAAAAAAAAGAAAAAAAAAGCTTATGGTATAACATTTTAGCGAATCTTCCTGGGCTAACCCAATTATGACGCTACTTATGCACTTATGCAGCTACATAATATACAGTAATGAGAGAGAGTGAGCCCCGTAACTCTTGCCGTTCTGCTCAAGCCATTTTATGTAACATTTGTGGTACAAAACCATCAATTAAACCACTTACCACCTGCCGATTTAAAAAAAAAAACCATTTGACTTCCTCATAGTTTTGTCGGCACTATACCAAAAAACTGGCCCCGTAACTCTTACCGTTTTTTTGATTAAGCCACTCTGAAATTACACGCGGACAGACAAAACACACATACACACACACACACAAACATTCTGGGATTATTAAGGTGATAGTGTTCATTTTTTTCAAGCTGTACGATTCTTCTACCCTGCAGGACTAGGAGTATAGATCTTAGCAGCGGAGACAGGATGTCAGGAGTATCTTAAAATAGAACTGCAGGGTGCAGGAGTCATATTCAGAAATAAAATAGGGCGTCAGAAATATCGTACGGGATGTTAGTGTTACAGCGTGCTCCCTGATAGACAAAGTCACCAATTATTCACTTGAAGGGAGGGGACCAGCCGGGAAATATTAATTTCATGGTTATCGTAGGGGTGCCTTACTGATTGTCTGATTTTATTTGCAGCTCTGTATTTAAAAAAGAGTCTATTGATAGCGATTACTGATCTATATACTATTTAGGACCGGCATAGAAACAAGGAGGTGACTCCTTTGAATGTAGATTGTCTGTAAAAAGGGGTCACGGAGTTAGGTACAGTTAGCCACAAGAAAGTAAGCCGCTACTCATATATCTCGGAGTCAAGACCCACCAGAAACTGCCCTAGACGGATACACGCTATTTCACCGTTATTTCTATATCACCCTGTAAAGAGCTGTTGTACTGTTGCAGTTGTCTGGGGATTGTGAGAAAAGACAGTAACACTTGCAAATGACTTGTTCAGTGAGAACTGGTGACTATCATGGTTCTCACTGACGGACAAAATACAAACAAAAGGGTTTTTAGACCAGATAATTTTCTATGTCATATTACTCATGAGATTGCTAGTTCTAAAAGTTTCTAAAAGTTTTACTTACAACACATCTGGAGATATAAGGAGTGATAGAATCGATATCAGCCATTGGTTTGAGAGGTGGATCCTCCAGATCCGAGTTAACCAGCCAGTAAGATCGCTCTGTTCTGACAGCTTGTCTGCACACATCGTTACCTGGCAGGAAAAGTGTCAAATATTAAACTAATTACAACACTACAAATCTATTACATTTGTTGAGGACGTTACAGAAGGAATTAATTTAATGCAGTTTGAAGAATCCTAACTCTCCTCACGTCCAAAAATATTGACACCTAACATGTTTCCTTTTGTTTCATACTGCTGAAAAAGATGCTTAAGAATAAACAAAGATATTTTCGTGCGTAGTCCCATAGACCAACGGACTGTTCGTGTTTACTACCCGACATTATGCTGAATTTAAAATGTGAATAATAATTATTCACATACCCGTGAATTAAGTTGATCATGAATCGTTAAATATGAATTGTAAAATGCCACTGTAGGCTGCTGTAGTCCGGACCACAAGGTGTCGGTTGAAGTTTTGTGTCATGATTTAAGAATGTTGCTGGTATTTGATAAACACCAATCTTTTCATTACAGAATGACATGATTATGTGGCATAATTATTACACCATTATGTGGTATAATCATGTTTAAGTGATTACGGAAATGTACGGGGGTTTGTATGGCCTGGTATTAACCCATATTCTTCCACGGTACTTTTAAAAGTACGGTTCATAAGGAGCACCTCTGCAGAATATGCGAATGTATGACGTGGATTGTTTGGAATTCTTTAAATTTCTAACGGTTGTCGACAATTTTATTATTTTTGCAGAAATGCTGAATAATTGAATATCTACATCCTCGCTTTCACTTGTGAGAGCTTGGACTAGTATAATGAAATTACGCCCTGTTCTCGACCGGATTATTTTGAGCTTTAGGGAATTTTCCATTCCCTATTCATGTCATAAGTACAACAATTTAAGATATATAGTGAAGCAACAATAAATTTGAGTGCCTTATCATGGTCTAATCCTATAAGTTGTATTTAAGATTGATCAAGTATCCAATTCAAAAACCAAATTAACTATATGCTGCTAATCTTACTATCCTGACAAAAATCATTGTAAAATCATGATGAAAGTTGATAATCATTGTTGTGGTCAGATTTGTTTTCATTGAATAGGAAAATCACGTGAGAGGAGACGTAGAGATCAAATTAAAAAATAAGATCAAATATAAAAGAAGTAATCTCCCAAGATATCTATACTTACGATAGTTGACGCATGCAGTAGTCAAGACTTAAGCCTAAGAAATATGTTTTCTTAAAACATCTTTTTAAAGGGGAACTCCTCACCAATTAAAGACCGAAACTATGATTAAAAACAGTTTTATAACAAACACCCTGGATAGGTTTCACAACATTTTTCAGTTATGTCAATATAAAGGCCATGGTGAAGAGAAATTATCAACCTTAATAATCTCAAGAAATCTGTGTGTGTGTGTATGTGTGTTTGAAATATACAAAAAAAGGGAGGAGTTACGGGAATGTTTTTTTCGGTATAGTGCCGACAAAACTCTGAAGAAGCCAATAAGGATATTTTTTTTAAATCGGCCGGTGGTAAGTGGTATTAATTGATGGGTTTGTACTCTCTGAAAAATGCCTGGCAATTTTTTAAAGGCCTAACTCAAAATTTCAATACAAGACTTAAGGTCGAAATGCGATTCTACGTTGATTCTGAAAATTTCATGTAAAAATATTGAAACCCTATTGAGTTCTATTGTTTTGAGCGAAATCAGTTTTGCAAATATCGCGAACTGAGATATGGACGATTTTGTTCATTTTTTGTGATTATTTGCACACAGAATCCACAGTTAGGTAGATACTGAGCTGATAATCATAGAGAATGTGTAGTATAAGCTTACCTTTCATATAAAGTTGGTTTCATTCAAAAATATTGATATTTTACCAATTTATGGGCCAAAATCGATCAAATTTGGTGCGTATGCCCAAATATGGTCATATGGTTTTTGACTCATAACTCAGTCATTTTTTGCCCAATCTTGATGAAAATTCATATACTTGTTTAGGGGACCACTAGCTACAAGTAAAGCACCTAAAATCTGGGTTTTGGGCATGTTCAGGGTATTTGGCTAAATTGGGCCTAATTTGGACCAAATATGGGCGTGGCTGCCCCGCGGGCACCGTTTGGCGGTTGGGGTCGGGGACCCCCTCAAAAGTTTGGTCACTGGTCCTAGTTTGTTGGTCAACTGCTATCTCGAAACCAAGTTTCACAAAAAAATCAGGGTAAACGTGGTACAGAGTTTACGGCCCTTGTGATCATGGTAGGTGGTGTCACTGGTGCCTAACAATGACTTAATTGTCCACGAGAAAGAACTGATTATGCGACTATGTTTTACTGACTCAGCGGGTAAATACTTCTACCCTTTTTAACTGCGGCAGTGAAATCCCAGGACTGATATAATATATTTTGATTTTGCGAAAGCCTTTGATAGCGTTTCGCATGACCTCATTTTAAGTAAATTAAAGAATATTTTTAATGTCGATGGACTAATGCTTAAATTTATTAAGTCCTATCTTGAGGGGCGACAACAACAAGTAGTGATAGGAGGCCAAACGTCTTCTTCTCTGCCAGTTCGGTCTGGTGTCCCTCAAGGTTCTATACTCGGCCCTTTATTGTTTGTAATATTTATAAATGACATGTTCTCCTGTGTCTATGAAGGCACCAATATCGCCCTTTATGCAGATGACACTAAAATTTGGAGGGAGATTCTTGGTTACCCTGACCATCACATAATCCAAAATGACATCAATAGATTATATGATTGGTCAGTGAGAAATCGAATGAAGTTCCACCCACAAAAGTGCAAAGCCCTCTCTGTGTCCCTGCAAAGAAACGTGCTGGATAACTTGCCATTCAATACCTTCTTTTATAAACTTTCTGGAAGTGATATTGACTTTGTGCCCTCTCAGTCAGATTTAGGAGTCACAATAAACTCCAGGTTTAATTGGGGTGCACAATGTAAAGCGCTTGTTTCCAAAGCTACATCTAGACTTGGACTACTTAAGAGAACATGTCATTTCACTACTGATAAAAGGCAGAAAAGATCGTTCTATTTAGCGTTAATTAGGTCTATATTTGAACATTGTTCTGTCATATGGTCCCCTCAATCTGCAACTCATCTTCAACAGTTTGTTGCTATCCAAAAGAGGGCTATTAAATGGATCAATGGTGAACCTTACTCCAGTTATAATGACGATAAACTTGCTACAGAGCAAAAGAAACTAAATATTCTCCCTGTTAAACAGAAGTTTATTTATAACGATCTTATGACCTTCTATAAAATAGTGAATAGCATAATTCCAGTTTCGCTCCCTACATATATAGTCCTATGCCGTCCAGAGGGCACCCGATACACTAGGCACAATGCTCAAATAATTGATATGTCGGATACTTCAACTTACATGAGTACCACTGTGCCCTGCTCGGATGCCTTCCGAAATAGCTTTTTTCATAGATCTATGCTGAATTGGAATAGTCTACCAGTATGTATCCGGCAGTCAGAGCGGATTTCTACTTTTAAGGCCAAACTGATCAAGTACCTCTGGGCTGCCGATACTGTCTGGCCAGATTAGCTCATCAGTCTTATGAGTCTCAGAAATTTGTTTTTGTTGGTTACAATTCTGTCCGTCCAATTTCCTATCTGCTTGTCCTTTTCTTATTTCTTTATCAGTTGTGACGGAATTGTAATGAACAAAATCCTTATAATTATTTATGATATGTTTGATTTCTTGTTAATGTTTGTCATTCAAATTTGGTAGACGGCCCCAACGTTAATGTGGCTCTTGCTATGTGTTGGTTCAGCCGAATTAATTATTATATTTAATCAAGTTTATTTTTCTCGTTAGTTGTCATCCGGCCAAACATTAAGCAACTTATATTGCAGTACCATTTATCATTTAGTAATCAAAATATGTCATTGTAATTTTGCATGGCTGAAATGTAACGCTTGATTTATATATATAATGATTAATTGAATTTTCAAATAAAAAAAAAAGTGAAATCCCAGCCGAAGGCCGGGTTACACTAGTACGTGAATAAAGCGCAATGAAGTGCAATAAAGCCACTTCCGTGCTAGGCTTAGAAAATCCAGTTACAAAGGAACTAAGGAAGTACCAAGACACAAGAAAGTGGTTTTTTTATGTGAGTATGTGGATAGTTCTTATGCCGAAAATTACAGACCATGCAGTAATTATATCATAACAATTCATCCGTGAGAACAAATTTAACCTACATGCAATCCTAAATACCGCTGAGGAATCCATGATAATAATTATGATATCCTCAAGGAAATAATTCAAGGACAACTAACCTTGACACGCCATCATAGCCATGATGTCGAATCGCTCGACACAAGATCCGGTATCTCCGAGATCCTGCTCGGTCACGACAAAGCCAGCTGTGAGGGACAGGAGACTGTATCCGGACCAAACAGCAAGGTGGTTTGAAGGGCACTCTGGGATCTGTGGGAGCGTAGGAATAGTAAGGGTATTCATGAGAGTGGGAGTGTAGGAATAGTAAGGGTATTCATGAGAGTGGGAGTGTGGGAATAGTAAGGGTATTCATGAGAGTGGGAGTGTGGGAATAGTAAGGGTATTCATGAGAGTGGGGGTGTGGGAATAGTAAGGGTATTCATGAGAGTGGGGGTGTGGGAATAGTAAGGGTATTCATGAGAGTGGGAGTGTGGGAATAGTAAGGGTATTCATGAGAGTGGGAGTGTAGGAATAGTAAGGGTATTCATGAGAGTGGGAGTGTGGGAATAGTAAGGGTATTCATGAGAGTGGGAGTGTAGGAATAGTAAGGGTATTCATGAAAGTGGGAGTGTAGGAATAGTAAGGGTATTCATGAGAGTGGGAGTGTGGGAATAGTAAGGGTATTCATGAGAGTGGGAGTTCGGGAATAGTAAGGGTATTCATGAGAGTGGGAGTGTAGGAATAGTAAGGGTATTCATTAGAGTGGGAGTGTGGGAATAGTAAGGGTATCCATGAAAGTGGAAGTGTGGGAATAGTAAGGGTATTCATGAGAGTGGAAGTGTGGGAATAGTAAGGGTATTCATGAGAGTGGAAGTGTGGGAATAGTAAGGGTATTCATGAAAGTGGGAGTGTAGGAATAGTAAGGGTATTCATGAGAGTAGGAGTGTAGGAGAGTAGGAGTGTAGGAATAGTAAGGGTATTCATAGGAGTGATCAATTGTTTTGATGAAAGCTTTGGTTGGTTGTTTGATTTTACTGCGTTGATATGGCGTGTTTTAAAAGTTTTCTCTGCAACTTTTAAAAAAATTTTACACTGCAGATTCAAAAGTACTTAATCAAAAAAGCAACAATGATTAAACACCCACTAACCGCATCAGTCTGACTATGAACAACAAAGATGTGAGTATCACAGTTACACTTTCCAGTAGTTCGGACTGTGCAACCACAAGCTCCGGCATCACCATCATCTCCGAACTTGCCTTCCTTTCCTTCGCCTCCCTGAAAACAGTTCATATCAGTTACTGTGATTTTAGATACTTCATTTCAAAAATGTCAAAAATTGTCCGAAATAGTCCTCAAATTATGGGCTCGTCCACCATTCGGAGCGCTGAGCCAAAAGGAAAAAAAGCTTTTGTCGTAAATTTTGTTTTAAATTTTGCAAACTGTTCCTTTTTGTCTCATCAACACCTCAGTTGATGCTTAAAATTCCAAGAGGTGCTCATAAATGGTAATTTTCCCAGCAGGCCTGAAACCCAAAAATGAACGATAGGCCAAATTTGCATAAATTATGCAATTTTTTCCTTTTCACCCTTTTGAAAAAAGGCAATAGTGAAAGGTTACGAATGGAGGTTTTTGCAGAAAAACGTGGATTTTGGAGATAGCAGTAGGCGGGTCTAAATATGATGTCATTCCGTCCGTTACCATGCAACGAAAAAGTTGCGCGCGCACGAGGATTGCTTGCGGAGATGTGATGTATAGATAGCCTGTGATCTATGAATGCGCGGCGCGACTGTGTTTTAATGTATATGATGCATGTAATATATAATATTACTATTAGGTAATACGCCCAATTTGTACGTGGCACGCATAGTGTATTGATGTGTACACGAGTATAGTTTACCTTTGCTGATAATTTCTTGAATTACAGATACAAGTTAAGTTCTACGGCAATTGAACTGAATTTCAAGTGTTTCCCGTATTTGATGCATAATTTATCAATATTATTATCATGAAGATTGAAGGGAGCTGATTGGAGCTTATACTTAAATTTATAGTAAATGTGAAATGGAAATCTAGCGTCCGCCAAAACAAAACAACGGGCGCAATTCTTGTTTATGTGAGTCGTTGATTTTCTAGTTTTAATGTTCCTTGGTGAGTGTACTGACAGCTTGACATAGTAAGGATATCTTCAAGATCAACAAAATGTTGCCCATCAAGTTCATAATATGAGACTCCTAACAAATCTCCTGACCCTTTAGAAAATCATATTAAGAGATTAGAACCAAGGGGTTAAAACTGAGAAAATGAGGAGGGGCTCTTATTGAGTAGTATTTTTTAGGACACCCTGTATATGCTGATGGAGCTGGTACCGCGATCTAAACTTTAAGCCGTAGTACATACATATTACATTACACTGGATTGGCTTACACAGTGTAATTTCCTCCAGTCTGCGCCGCGCGCCTATATAAACATATGCGGCGCAGACTGGAGGAAATTACACTGTGTAAACTCCAGTGTAATGTAATATGTATGTACTACGGCTTAACGACGTGCCCTCGTGCCGTCTAGTATGTACTCCAGAATGTGGCCCAAACTTAAAGAATGTGCTTTGGAATGCGCATGAACGTCGCTCGTTCGTCTTATCTCGTTGAGTTCGTCCCTCTCATACAATACTTACTAATTGGTTGGTTATGAAGCGTTTTACCATATATAGTTAGACTTTCTACGACCATATTTTGTCTTATCTCTTTGAGTTCCGCTGTTCCAGCCATGACACAATCTTACGTTTTCCTATATATAACAAAACACGCTATAACCAACCTTACTACAACACAATTCAACAGAAGAATGGAAGATTGTATAGACCTTAGTTCTCAGAAGGTTCACACATTCACACCTCTCTCATTTGACTCCAATTAAAAGCTTGTCCGCGCCCTTTTGTTAAAAAATAGCACATTAGAGGGGCTCATGATCTCTCTCAAAGATCACATATATTCACATTTCTGATGTATAACTTCAAATTAAGTAACCCAATGCAAAGTATGATATCCGTACCGTGATCATTGTTCTAGCCAAGCCGTAAAAATGAATGAATAAACCTGAAACATAATTTGTTCATCACGCGAAGAAGGTAGGCCGGGTCATTTCAATTAGCATGTTTCCTTCATTCAATTCTAATCTAAAACAAATTCGCCTTAACAACTTAACATTATATTTTGTCTTATGGTGCTGATTTGATGGTGATTCATTTTATTCTCAGATTAGCTGCTAGAACATAATCATATTATTTCATAATTTGAATTTGCTCAGAGGAGTAACTTTTTGATATTTCAATCTCAACCATTGTTTTTAAATTTTATCGATAAATATTTTTCAACTTGCGAAATTTAGCTAAGATTTTTTAAAGATCTTAAAAACAAAATTCCAAAGAAAACAAAGCAAGGTTCAAAAATTTTAAAAGTGCAATCAATAACAGAAGCAATCATCACTGATGATTGCTTCTGTTATTGACTGCACGAAACTTTAAGTTTGTGACCTTTAGAGTGTTCTGGATAGATAAGTACCTAAGATGAGAAGTACGTACCGTACCCGGCTAAAGTACGTACGGTACGAGGTTTTTCATTAAATTTTTCTGAAAGAAATGATGTCCGTTTTTTACCTTATTTTTCTATTGTTGTAAAATTTGCAGGTATGTATGCAATTTTCAAACCACGGTTTTGGTGCCAGTCAATGGCGTACACTGTACGTACACTGTACAGTCATACAATTCTAATGATGGAAATAAGAATGCAGCGACATAAGTTTAAATTTAGTTGCCCGTAGCGCAACTAAAGTGTTGCGTTCCTGTAGTGTTCCTGTAGTGTTCCTGTTATTATTATGTCACGAAAGTTGGACTTTCATCAAAAACTCATTTATCGTACTTTATAACCAATTTTATTAGTACGTACGCGGTGCGGTACAGCCATATTTTAAAGTACGTACCGTACGAACTTCTCATCATAGATTAGTACGGTTTCAAACATGTGTAGATTAATTCGTGAAGGAGCAATTAGCTACTTGTTGCGTTCTTATCTTTGTAAATAGATTACAATTATGTTACAACCAGTTAAGATATCAAGCGGTTGACAAAATTATAAAAAAAATGTGCTGTAACATCCTGAGTAGAGAAATAAAAGCAGAAAACATTTTTGCCAGAATTATTTGGAAATTGGTCGCCAAATTTTTTATTGGCCTCCAGTCTTAAATTTAATAAATAGTGTAAAGTCAAATACGATTTATATTGAATTTTATGCAAAATTAATTCATAGGATTAAAGAATTAATTACAAATACTCGACCCCAATCTTAACCCTAACCATAAAGCTAACTTTAAACTTACCTTATCGGTAATAATTATCGCGTACATAACTTTCACGCTGAAGACCTTAGTATGAACAATTAAATCCGTGAAAATAATGTCTGTGGCATTATCTTACTATATATAAAAAAAACGCGAATTAAATAGGTAATAATTATTTTAGTCTCTTGAGTCTTGACACCACTTTATAGTAAGACGGGTTCCTGCTAGTAACTATAAGGTCCGTAAATAATAAAGTCTGGTAATTATTTCCATTAATTTTAGTGTGTGTCTCTACATATGCGTAGATATGTGTGTAGCCGATTACTATATTAGTTTATTAGTATACTAGGACAAATAAATCACTCCTTAGTTGCACATTCTAGAGTTCAAAAAAAGAGTAAAACACTTATTAAAAAATCACCAACAATTTTCGCATTTTTTTGCACATTTTGGGCGGTCACGGGTTATGAGCAAAAATAATTATGTCCACTTCTAACCACAACCTTACAGTTACACAATAGAATTTGCTGTTTGTCGAAACAGTTTTGTTTTGCCCGTTGCTCTTCAGGAGAGCATTTTTACCCTACGACTTGGATTGATTCTGAATCAGCATCCAAAAATACATCGACAAAAGCTAATTTTACACCCTTTGTGCCTTTTCACAACAATTTCAAGCGACCGATTTAGTTTAGTATTAATTAAATTAAATTAATATCATATTCAACAAAGGACTCTTGCTCGTTTATCCCAAAAGACTATGCCCTAGTACAATTGCATTCCGAGAAGCTCGATAAGAGAATGAAGCCGACCTCTTTCAGACAAACTCATATCAGACAGTTGAATCGAATAAAAAGTTCGATTTAAATATAGCACCATTGTTTTCAAGCTCTTCGTCAAGGATGATGTTCATGTTTATTTGAAGTAGTCACAGTTGAACAGACAATAATCTATATATTGATATGATAGCGTCGTCTAGTACAGTCAGTCATTTTGAGTTTTGTTTTGTGTCAAATATTGTGTTAGGTATTTACAATAACATATTGTTTAAATTCGGCCGGCTGTGAGACTTTGAATTTGTCATACTATATATATAAACATGTAACAAAGTTAACATGGCCCCTTGCTGTCGTGTTTGATAAAATTTCCGAATGGCCAGTTGATAAGATAACTACCTTATCGGACATAATTTTCACGGACATAATTGTCACGGACATAATTGTCACGGACATAATTATCACGGACATAATTGTCACGGACATAATTGTCACGGACATAATTATCACGGACATAATTGTCACGGACATAATTGTCACGGACATAATTGTCAAGGACATAATTGTCACGGACATAATTGTCACGGACATAATTGTCACGGACATAATTGTCACGGAAATAATTGTCACGGACATAATTGTCACGGACTTTATTGTCACGGACATAATTGTCACGGACATAATTGTCACGGACATAATTGTCACGGACATAATTGTCACGGACATAATTGTCACGGACATAATTGTCACGGACAAGTTTTACACGGAAAAGTTTTTCACAGACATGTGTCCAAAAATTTGTAAACATTTTTGGTTCTTTTTTGGTTCTTTTTCTGAACTCTCAACTCTAGAATATGACTGAGGAGTAATTATATTTGTCCTAGTATACTAATAAATTAATAGTAATATAGTAATCGGCTACACACATATCTACTCATATGTAGGGACACACACAATAAAATTATTGGAAATAATTACCGGAATTTATTATTTACGGACCTTAATGCCACAGACATTATTTTCACGGACTTAATTATTTACGCTTAAGTCTTCAGCATGAAAGCAATGCCCGTGATAATTTTGACCGATAAGGTATTATATACATAAGTATTAAGTAATGGCTTTTTCTTTAAATAGTACCACCAGGTAAATTTCGTCACTCATTTAAGAAATATATATGAGGGATGTTTAGGACACTCAGAGCATTTGTATATTCTTTCTGAGCATTGAGCACCTAGAAGCACTAGCCCACGGTAATTTAAATTGATATCGTTTTCTTTCGATTGGACACTGGCAATCGTCGCCGGTTCACTCTGCCCAAGTTTAGATTTTGATCAAAAGATTATTGGAAGACAATCAATACAAAGGGTAAAGTAATATGGGCAATCTGGTTTTGCCATAACACTTCATATGCTATTGTCCATCTAGACAGCTGAGTTGCTGAAGAATTCCTTCAAAAAATGTTTTTAATCGAGTTGAATGGCATGACTGCCACTCACCACGGTCTATTTGACCTCTATTGACCAATTACTTTGGGAATAACGGTGTTGCAATTTGATTCGGTTTTTCGCAATATATTCTCAGAATGAATTGTATATTAATTCTATTATTCATCCTTTAATATAAATTGTATTTTAAAATAAAATATTATTTTTAGCGCAACTACAAAGCGCCAGGAAAATAGTTTAACTATTGTTTATTCTACAATTATAAATTCTCCCAGATAGGAGATACCATCATGATGCTCTTCAACTGTTGCAAGGATCCGTCATGTCTTGAAAATAGTTGCCTGGTCACAGCGAATAAAATATCACGCGGAAACACCCCAGATTGTGCCCCAAAAAATAGTCGTAAAACTGAGACAAAAGCTTTGAAAAAGAGATCATCAGTGGCTGTGAAGAGCGGGTCTACTAGTGAACCTGACGTAGAGGAACGGGAAATTAAAGGTGGACCGCGAAACTACGACCTGCCCGAAGAGAAATATTCTGTAAAAGTCACTCGGAAGCTCAGTGAGATAATCGTTCCGGACGAGAATGTGGAAGTCAAAGTTAATAGATCAAGAAGACCGTCCGTGATAAATGGCGTTTATGCTGTTCAAAGGCCAAGTGTGGTAAGAATGAATTCGGCTGAGATTGCTGCTGCGATTAAAGAAAATAACAAAAAAAAGATTTTTGAAAGGGATCCTTCCTTTAATGGAAAAAGAATGACCGAGGAAGAAAAAGCGAAAGATGCCAAAAAGAGAGAAAAATCATTTCTGTCAAAAGCCGTAAAAAGAAAGAGCAAAGTTAAAGTTTAATCGAAAACTTAAAAAATCAACATTATATAAAGAAGAATATTCGAGCAATACTATGGCAATCTTTCCTTACCTTGGGTCCTTGATCACCATGGATACCATTGACTCCTGAGTTGCCTTTCTCTCCAGGATTTCCTGGGTTTCCATCGGGTCCTTGGTCACCAGTGATTCCTTCATCACCTGGCGCACCTGGTGCTCCTGCTTCTCCCTGTAAATGTCTTTTTGAACACTAAGTCGCGTTACCTTTATATTCGACTAGGACTACTTCTGGATGTTTAATGTTTATAAACAATTTTCTAGAGTTTTCAGACGTTTATGATGTCAACAAAATACCTTTGAGGCGGTTTTCGTGTGAATTTTCATCATTTTCATTTTGCGATCGAATTTAAAATTTAATGGGTTTGGATATTCGTAGGACAGTGACATGACTTTTATTCAAAACAAAAGAATATTCTTTCAAAATTAGTACCTTACTTATCCTGCTAGTATCAAAGTTCATAACTAGTTACACTTATCAACTAAGCAGAGTATAATTACTAACCTTGTTACCAGAAGCTCCAGGAAGACCTGGATGACCATCAGCACCATCAGCACCATCCGTACCATTCAAACCGTCCTCTCCAGCTTCATAGTTCGGCTGTCCCTTTTCTCCGAAATCACCAATATCTCCCTTCTCGCCAGTATCAAGACCTAGAAGCTCTTTGTTCTCTTCAAAGAAGGTTACGATTTCAACAACGAGAGGATCTTCTGGCTTGCCATCGGAAACCTGAAATGAATAGTGATAAAGTGGAGGGTTCGTTACAGTAATTCCACCATTCATCACATGACTCCTTTAGTAAGGTAATACAATTTTAAGAAACTGGTCTCAGATATAATTACAACTTTGTAAACATTTAGTGTTAGGATAATTCAACACGAAATATTACCTGAGGCTCAATTGGCATCTCCTCCCAGTATTTTCCTTTGTTTCCCTTGGTTCCCTTGTCTCCGTGTTCTCCCTTGACGTAGTTAGCTTCTCCCACGGGTCCCTTGGCTCCCTCATCTCCTGGCAGACCGACGATTCCAATATCTCCAACGTCTCCCTTTGGTCCCTAAAAAGTCGAGTATTATATATACAGATATACGACTTATCTAGGAAACAGGTTAGGATTTATGGGCCAAATAATATTCTTCCATACCAATAACCGTCACTGAGGGGCCAATAAAAGGTAATGAGATCCGATCTCTGGTTATTGATCTCGAAATCTCGGATCATGTGCGAGATCATGTTTTTTTTTCAAATGAAAAAATTAGTTGGCTTTAACTTTTCGTACCATAATTGATAATTGATTAAACATCCTAATGATATTATCAAAATCCGGTTAACCGGAAATGAGATTGATATCCGACGTTTCTGGTCCGGCAACCAAAATTATAGACCGGTTGATTCCTAAGCGTATTTTATGACATTTATTTTCACTCTTCAGGCACAAACTAAAATTTTAAGTCAAGCTGGGATGATATTGTTTGACCGGAGCCTACAGTGGCTGTAAAAGTGTAAATAGACTAGGTTCTCTTATTGTGGCAGCTAACTCGGCTGTCCGATAACTAAATCACCAAAAGTTCATGTCCAAAAAGAACGAACATTGTTGATAGTAGTCTATTGACCTAATTACTGTCCAGGCTTAGTCTCGCACAGATTAAAATGTTGAAGCCGCAGCAACAATAGGCTACAGCAAATCATGCACAGGATTGTATTCGGATATTTGCAACAAAGCCTAATGATACGTTTTCAAATTATTAAATTCGGTTGCAATATGTTAAAATGTAGTTTCTATCATATTCCCCAGAACGGTGATGAGCCATATTGAAAGGGCGTTGACTTCACCGATTGGATTAAACAATATTGGCGACAGATCTCATGACTCTTGAGTGAGAAGTAACAGTCTGCCATAAGTAAAGTTACAAATCTTAAACATGAAAAATTGCTATATTGTAAGCCCAGACGTTCCATGTAGCAAATAACGAGATAAAGCTAGCAAGTAACTGACCTCAGGTCCCACTACTCCTTCACCTCCAACCTCACCAGGTTCGCCAGGTTCACCAACTTCACCAGGCTCTCCAGGGTTTCCTGCAATACCTTTGGGTCCTTCCTCTCCGGGAACACCATCGGCACCTTTAGCTCCGTCGATACCGTTATCACCGTCAATACCGTCAGATCCTAAACAGGTTATCTTGTAAACATGATTAAAAATACGGTCATTGATCCGATGGTAAATACTTAATATCAGGCAGTAATAAAAGTACTATAACTGACGAGAAAATTTGTTATTCGTCCCAGCAACTCAGAAAATCATTAGAATTCAAAGCCACAAGTTAAAGAGAAATAAAATTATAAATGATTTGTCAGAATGATGGAATGTTATTATTAAAACCTATGGTATCTTGTCCTGGTTCTCCCTTGTGGGTGGCACCGGGAACTCCCTTATTTCCTGCTTCTCCGGGCGCTCCATCATTACCCTGAAAAAACAGAATGCAGATACTTGAGATTGATCAAGAGTAACCTTAACAAAGCCGAATATGGATGTGGTAGTTTATCACTGGGGATTAAGTGTTTACGATCAGACGGAGTGAAAAAAATGTTTGATGATTGCTAGTTGTTAAGTAGAACTTCTCCGTAAAGTCGAAGCTAGTGCTTCCACAGTTAAGAGTAAGTTAAGGGCAATTGTTTCATCACGTTACCGGTTACATGTGAACAAAACTCAGACATCATACATGATCATAAAGACTTACAGCTTCTCCCTTGGCACCAGATTCTCCCTTATCTCCAGAAGTTCCAGGGAATCCAGGTTGTCCTTGGTCACCTTGATCACCAGGTTCACCACCATCTCCCTGTTCTCCTGGTTCTCCCTTGGAACCGGGTAATCCGGGGAGACCTGAATCTCCATCTGGACCCTTTTGATGGGCTCCTGGGATGTGGCACTTTTAGTACAGCTTCCGGTGGAGATATGCAGTCAATTAAAGTTGATATTACCATTTGAAAACTGCATTTTAATTTAGTAATGAAGTAATTTTACCTTTAGCGATGAAAAGTACTCCATCTTCACCAGGGAGGCCATCACTTCCATTAGTTCCTGGTTCTCCATCTGGTCCTTGGTCTCCTATTTCTCCCTGTGGTCCTTGTTCTCCCTCGTCTCCTTGATCTCCCTCGTCTCCTTGAGCTCCCTCGTCTCCTTGATCTCCATCGGGTCCTTTTGGTCCTTGGGCACCTTTTTCTCCATCAGCGCCTACATCACCTTTTTCGCCTACAACACCTTCATCTCCTTGGTCACCTTGATCTCCCTGAAAAAGCGCATCACGTTATACATACATTATGCAGAAACATAAATGTCTAAACGCTCTGTTCTGATCAAATACTGCTCAAATGCCATGGAATAATTGCATTAAACTATAAAAAACTTGTACAACTTAAGTACAATCAATGTTAAAGTGAGAAGAACCACTAAAAGTCAATACCTTGGCTCCATCAGATCCGGGAACGCCGGGTAGACCCTTAGCACCATTTGCACCGGGCTCTCCAATAGCACCAACATTACCGTCACTTCCTGGGTTGCCATCGGCTCCAGCATCACCTGGTTCTCCTTGTTCACCAGACTCACCCTAAAACATGGGTGTTAGTCAATTTAGATGCATTTAACATCATAGTATCAAGTAGAGAATTATATTTCAATGAAACTGACCCATTGAAATTAACATTGCAATATGTAAACAAACATACTATTTCAAGATACTGGGTTTGATTTTTTTCTCCTATTCGATTCGAACAGTTTTTGGAGATTTCGCTGACCATTTTATGGTACCGTTAATGATTGTGCTTCTACTCAAGTTTAATGTGTACTTACTTGGTCACCCGCTGGAGCGTGGAGTGGATCGGGAGCTTCACCAGGATCTCCTTTCTCTCCCAATACTCCAGAATCTCCAGCCAGTCCCTTAATACCATCTGGTCCTTCTTCTCCCTCTTGACCGTCATCAGCATCAAGTCCTGGTTCTCCTTTGTCTCCTACGTCTCCTTGTTGACCTGAGCACAAAGGATACAGGTGGTGGGTATAAAGCTTCTGCTAGACTTATATACAAACGGATTCTTTGTCTTAGTTAAATAAACGATCACATTATGATAAATGCTAAGTATTACCTTGAGCTCCAGGTTCTCCTTGATCTCCCTCTTCTCCATTTGCGCCAGGGGCACCAGGTTCTCCACTAGGTCCTACTTCTCCTTTAGGTCCCAGGGGACCTTCAGGTCCGGTTTCTCCTTGTTCACCGTCAGCTCCGTCAAGGCCATCTAGACCGTCATCACCGGGTATTCCTTCAGGTCCTTGTTCACCGGGAACTCCAATTACACCCTGCAGAAAATTAATTAAGTGGATATGCCAACTTTTGTGTTCCACAACCACATTATTCACCTTAATGCGGCAATAACTGTTTAGTAAGCTGAATTAATCATATCTGTACTTTTGCCGGATCAACCAAAAATAAGTACAGACCAAAAAATAATTAGGTTTACTTACTTTAGCTCCGGCATCTCCAGCGGGTCCAGCAGGTCCATCAGCGCCATCCAGACCATTGGGTCCTTTGTCTCCAGCAACTCCGTCATCTCCGGGCTCTCCAGCAGCTCCGGCCTCTCCAGGGGCACCTTGTCCACCCTTTGGTCCGACACCTCCCTTACCTCCTGGGGCTCCATCTTCTCCGTCAGGTCCTTTTTCTCCCTGTATTTTAAAGTCAGTAGAAAAAAATGAGTTCAGTAAATAACTGAGCGTCGATGTTTTCACAACTTTACACAAGTTTGATTACCTTATCGGACCTTATTTGGACGGACATTACTTGAACGCTGGAGGCCCTAGCGTTCATTTTAATGTCCGTTCAAATAAAGTCCGTTCAATTAATGTCCGTCCAAGTTAAAGTCCGTTGAAATTTTTTCAAAAATTTTTTCATTTCGAACTTTTTGTCCAGAATATGACAACTTTGAGAACTTTATTGTGCCGTAAGTTAACGATGGAAAGGTTCTCTTTGGTCTGCCGGAGGCACAGAAAACTCTGCTAGTATATGATATTTTCAAGGGTCACTTGGCGGAAAAAAGTCAACAAAATTATGGCACTCAACAACATAGTTCATGAACTAGTCCCCGCCAACATGACAAACTTGTTCCAGCCTCTAGATATTAGTATTACGGTAAATCGTGTTTCCAAGGACATTGCCCGACGTTGTTATAGTTCATATTACTCGGGGCGGTAATGAAACAGTGCTAGCAAAGCTCCACGTGATGTTAAGGTTAACCTTAAGTTGTCTAAGATAAAACCACTTCACGCCGAATGGCTTGTAAAAGTTAACACTGAAATGCAGGACCGGGGTAGTTTGATAAAAAAGGTTTCCATAAACTTAAAGCTGGAAATCACTGATGCTTTAAACATGGACTATTTCATGCACGAAAACCCATTTGATGAAGATGATATGTGATATTAGACACTGATCGAGTACACATATTTTAACATTTTTACTGCTCAATGACAGCTTTTCTTACTTACTGTATAAAAATGGATTTAAAAAGCATTTGCTGAAATTTAAAAACGTCAACAAAATTGAAAAAATTCGGTTTTTTGATGGTTTTGAATGCCTTCGAGCGTTCATATTAATGTTCGTTCATAATTATGTCCGTTCACGTAATGTCCGTCCAAATAAGGTCCGATAAGGTAAGCAATAAGTGGAAACAGCAAATTCTTTTGTCGATCTGTACTCACTTCCACGCCAGCTTCACCCGTGGGACCGGTGACATCAGGACCAGATTCTCCCTGAGGACCCTGTTCTCCCTTTTCTCCGATTATTCCAATTGGGCCTTCTTCTCCTTGAGGTCCGGGTTCTCCTTGATCTCCTTTGACATCACTTGTTTGACCAGATCTGGAGAATTGGCTGATCATTTAACGATAACCAAGTTTTATTTAAGGTTCATGAATAAAGTTAGGTCATCAAGAATTTAAATTTGTTTTTAAAACTATAAAAATAGTTTACTTACTCTCCAGGTGGACCAACTTCTCCCTTAGCACCGTCAACTCCAAATTCACCAGTTTCTCCCTCGAGACCATCATCTCCATCAATACCGTCATGTCCAGGTTCTCCATTGGCTCCAGCAGCTCCCTGAGGTCCCTTCACTCCTGGTTCCCCAGCTTCTCCAGCGCCTCCGGGGTTTCCGTCAGCTCCTAATGAACAGATTTGATACCGTCAGTACTTTTAGCGGGAATGGTTACAGCTCGTGGTCATGTTATCTGCTTTCACATTATGGTAGGAACAGGTTCATTGTACAATTAATGAAACAGTGCATTTCAGCTGATCAAACAGGCATTACAGTAACACGATATTCTGAGATTATCGTTTGAATATCGGGTCTGAATTAAAAATATGCCCCAGAGACCTGCATCCAAAATACTTGCCTGGATTTCCATTAGCTCCATCAGCACCATCAAGACCGTCGACACCAGCATCTCCGTAAGCTCCTTGTTCACCAGGTGCTCCAGGGGAACCGTAATCGCCGGGGATTCCGGGGGGTCCTTGATCACCAGGTAATCCAGGTAGACCGTCCAATCCGTCAGTTCCATTATTGCCATCGAGACCATCCTCACCTGGATAATAGCATCATAAATGGATTGGTAAATTATAGCTGCTTCAAGCTAGTTAATTTTAAAAAGTCCCCGTCGTTATCCAGTCTCAGGTTAAATACAAACAGTAACTGTTAAATTTATTTGAGCACTTACCCTTGGGACCCTCAGCACCCTCTGCACCAGGCTCTCCAACTGCACCCTGTGCACCAGGAGCTCCATCAGCACCATTATCACCAGGATTTCCGTCCAGACCGTTAACTCCGTCTTCACCGGGGGCACCTGAAGCGAGTATTAATCACTGTAAATAATCTGGAAAAGTGTGGCATGTTTATAACAATCAACATTTAGATTTGAAACGAACCATAGCCGTATCAGCAAACAAATAATAAGCAATTTTAAAAGAGAAACAAACAATGAGTAGAGACTGAACTTTTGGAATAACCATTTAAAAAGTAAAGTTTTTGTTCCTAACCTTGGTCACCGTCATCACCATCGGCTCCTTGTTCTCCCTGATCTCCTTGATCTCCTGGTTCACCATCACTACCTGTGGTTATTGACTTTCACATTGGTATCCAGATTAGAGGAAAGTTGTTTTATATCTTTATATGAATTACGAGGGACCTAATTAAACATATAAATCAATTTTGGAAATTATTTCCGTGCCTAAACGTTTACAAAATGCCAAAAATATCGAAAAGAATAATATAACGAACCGTCGCTGCCGGCGGCTCCAGCGGGTCCCTCAGCTCCGGGTTCTCCCGGTGCTCCATCCATTCCTCGTTCACCATCATGACCGAACTCTCCACGTTCACCCTTAGCTCCTGGAAGAAATGAGTTACAATTCAAGTCCAGTGAGAAACATTATCACGATGGAAATAACATGAACCATGGCATCTATTCAACACCCTTTAACAATCCACCTGATGTGTACAAATTACTGAATATACAGAAACTCGTAAGTCAATTGAAATTCTAACCGTTGTTGCCAGGTGCTCCATCAGCTCCAGCTTCACCAATTGCTCCATCAGCACCATTCTCACCATCCTCGCCATTCTCACCATCAGCACCGGGGTTACCATCAGCACCGTTAGCACCATCTTCTCCAGGCTCTCCAGCAAGTCCTGGCTCACCTTCAGGACCCTTAGGACCTGGAGGAGCTTGTTTGTTAGCGTGAGAAGCACCGACATGCGGCACACTGAGGTCAGCAGGATCGGGTAGTAATCATCCAACATCACATTTCAGCGCAGTTCACAGCGAGTAATGATTATGCTATAGTTGCATAATTAAATGACATTGAGATGATTGCTTTCATGATGTTCTGATCATGAACAAGTTTGACAGATGATGCTTGAAGCATTTCTAAATGTTTAAAGGTAGTTTGAACCTTGTCTTCTGATCAGAACATTATTTTAGTGTTAACATAAATTCTGTAAAGTTTAAATAAAATATAACACCGTCAAATTTAATCAATTCGTCCATACGAAACGAAATAGATGTAAATCACACTTGTTAATATTTTGTTTAAAATTTAATGCATGCAGCACATTTAAAACCAGCATATAGATCAATATGAATTAAATTAATGCTATCTACAAAGTTTGCAGCATAATTTAATAGAATAGATTAACTAACATAGAAAAGAGGCAGCGGCTAATTATAGCTTTATAGGTTTGGAAAATCTTAAATAATGACGATAAAGCTTTGTAAGATAACTGTGGTGGGATAACAGTAATATGACTATATGAGATGATAAGCAGTTCCAGCTGATTGAGAACACCTTACTTTAGCTCTCTAAAGAATGAATTTCAACTCATGGAAACTGATGCAGCAAATTTCATGTCTGAAGGTGATCAGCACGATTATTTAAACGCTGCTTAAATCTGGTGGATTCGTGTAGTGTTATTGAGTCTCATGATTTGATGTTTCTTTCATTCAAATTTCTAATTGTTTCTGAATAGACTCAGTGAAGACAGATTTTAATGGAAATTTTTATTTATTTCCATTAGAATCTGTCTTCACTGAGTCTATTCAGAAACGATCAGAAATTTGAATGAAAGAAGCTGCTTAAATATCAATGGTGTAGTCTTTTACCATTGTCAGGCGAATTAGCAGCTAAAATCAATTCAGTGGGGTGAATGGAATAAAATGATATTATGTATTAATCATGAAGTGTGGCACTCCTTATATGGTAGTCACGTGACATGATGTTAAAATGATATAGAATTACTAAAACAATCAGTTTTAAACATTCAACGCTGACGGATAGAATTGTCAGGTGACACAAAGGAAAGTTATTGTAGTATTAGCAAACAGGCAACCAGAGTTTTATGTTAATTAAATTGCGTATTGTAGTATAGTTAAAGCGAACAGCTTTTTGTGTTAATGAAATGGCTTAAAATAGTTGTTAAAGCAAACAGGCTAACAGCGTTTCATGTTAATTAAATTGCTTATTGTAGTATAATAGTAAATGTGAACAAGCAAACAAGCAAACAGCGTTCTCACAAGGATTTAACTGCTAATTGCTATCCTAGTATTAAAGCTTATAAGTCCACAGTTGCCGATATAATTTGAACATGAACTAAACAAGAAGTCAACATAAAATCAACACAAATTCCGCATAGATTCAATATACTTTTAACGGAAAATCAACAAATAGCTCGTAAGCGGATACCAAATAAAAAGATTATAATATTGTTATAATCAAAATTCATTTTCAAACAGAGACCACGTTAAAATTCCAAATATAACATTTTAGCCTACCTTCTTCTCCTTGAGGACCTTGTTCTCCCTTCTCGCCTTGGGGGCCAACATCACCTGGAAGTCCTTCTCCTCCATCAACTCCATCAACTCCATCGGCTCCGTCAAGACCGTCGCTACCGGGCTCACCCTTTGCTCCTTGCTCACCTTGTGGACCTTGTGGTCCAGCTTCTAGCACCTTCATTGAAACAATGGCGTCAGATGTTTCGATATATTTTAAAATATAATTTTATTTGCATTGGTAGAACTTAAAGGAAAGAAAAGTGTAAATAAACCCTGACACTTACATCAATACCATCAGCACCGTCAGCACCATCCTCTCCATCAGGTCCTTTCTCTCCTGCTGCTCCTTCAGCTCCCTGTGGTCCTTGGGCTCCTAGATCACCTTTGTCTCCTGAGAACAAAAACCATGTCACAACAAATCAAGATACCTATAGTCAATAACCTAGCTGAAGACGATTTACACATGTATTTTGAAAGATCCTGCTAAAATAAACTTCTCGTATCTCTTATATGTTTTAAAACAAATACCCTCCAGGCTAATAGTTAACAATCAATATTTCGCTAAATAGTTAATAAGCTTCCAAATTATGGAAATACATAAAAAATAAAATGTATATTCGCTGCAGGATCAATATCATACCAGGTTGTCCCTTAGCACCGTCCTCTCCACTCTCGCTGACACCAGGTTCACCAGGTGGGGCAGAGTCGGGGGTAACACCATCTGGTCCGGGCTCTCCTACTGCTCCTACCTCGCCTTTGGGTCCCTGAAACAGAAAGACGCTGAGTTCTGTGCCATGAGCAGTGTCAATAGGATAATTTTTAATTCAATCAAACACAAAAACAGGATTTTAAAATATGTTTACCCTTTTCTAAATATTGAACTTCTCTCATGCACGTACCTTATCTCCAGGTTCTCCAGCGGCTCCAGTGGTAGCTTCTCCCTGAGGTCCTTGTTCGCCTTTGGAACCATCAGCACCGTCAGCACCATCCTCTCCATCAGGTCCTTTCTCTCCTTCAGCTCCTTGTGGTCCTTGGCTTCCTGGCTCTCCTACTGATCCCTGAGGTCCAGGATCACCTTGTAAAAGTACGGTTGTAAGAGAAGTGTTTAGTCATAAAATTCAACTCCTTGCTATAGAATCAACTTTATCTTTACAATCATTGATATTAATCCAATACTGACGGGGAGACGTCAGACACGCAAGAAATATGGTAAGTTATAGAACTCCTGACCAAACGAGTGCCGAAGGCACGAGTTTTGTCAGGAGTTCTATAAATTGCTTATGGTACGGCACAAGACTCAAAATTGTGAGCTGTGAATCTAATTTTGCTTAAGCATGAAATCCAGCCCTTCTCGCTGGCTAATATTGGTCACGTTATCTATCAGCTGACTACACCTCGTGACTGCGTCACTCGGTGACCACGTGCCCGACTGGCTGGTGCCGTACCATAAAAATAATGATTGGTCTGTCCACTTTATAGTCAAAATAAATGTGTTTTATAATTTATTTCCCCTCGAGTATTTCAATGCCGGATTCTATAAAAACCTTTTGATCCGCCGGGTCCTTTGGCTCCTGGTCCTCCATCTTCACCATCTGCAGCATCAGCTCCGGCAGGTCCTTGATCTCCTTGGGCTCCTTGATCTCCTGGGCCTCCTTTGGCTGCAGCAGCACCTGGGTGTAGGGTGTTATATGCGTTCTTGTGCTTTAAAATGTTTAATACAGGAATATGCATTTGTCATCGACTGAAAATAGCTGCCGTAAACAACTGTAAATAGACAATAAAACGACTTTGTAATAACCACATTACCTAATTACCAACAATATTAAAAAATTCAGGTAGGCTTATACACGAGCCTTTTATCTAATGCAGATGAACAAAATCAAGTTTTCAACATGTAAGCCAATTTAACGCCAGCTTAAAGCCAGGTAAAAAGCCAGTTTTCAAGTAATAAACCTACCTGGTGCTCCCTTTGCTCCAGTAGGTCCAGGTTCTCCCTTCTCCAGCTTTCCTCCTTCAAGTCACCAGAGCCTCCTAGAACACAACTATTAGATCACAGTTTTCACATGATTTAAACCATTTAGCAGATTGTGGATCTGGTGCAGCAGTTATTTTAGATTAATCGAATGTTTAATCTCCACATTTTCCAGTGAATACAATACATTTTCTTTTATTTGCTTCCACAGAGAGCTGGATGCGAGTAAAGAAAGCATAAACTGCGCACCTGAGTCTCCACCGGAACCATCTCGGCCGGGTAGACCATCTAGACCCTTTGGTCCTTTAAGTCCTTGAGGTCCTTTCTCTCCTTTAGCTCCTTCCTCTCCGAGTAATCCTGTTTTGAACGTAGCTTGTGAATTTCATAATACCAATATTTTAATTTTGAGGTTAAGATTAATTGAATAGGTATTGGCCTGATAAAATTCCAAACCTATCATGGCTGTTTGAATAAAAGGATAGCGTAAGTCGTAAGTCCGCAGTTATTTCCACTTACCCTTAGGTCCCTCATCTCCGACTTCACCGGAAGGTCCGGGTTCACCAGATGCTCCTTGTGGTCCTAGCTCTCCGACAGGTCCAAGAGGTCCTTTCTCTCCATCTGGTCCTGCTGATCCATCTCACCGGGTGCTCCCTCAGCTCCTGCCTCTCCTGAGATATTGAGGCTTATCACCTAGTGTATTGTACAAAATGGGTTCAATGAACGAAACCATTTCAATAAACAATTTACCATTTCAATAAACAATTTAGTAAGAGTATTAATTAAAAAACACCATTTCAATGAATAATTTAGTAAAAGTATTAATTAAAAAACACCTGGCGTGACATCAGTAAGCAAATAGAATAAAACATAATCTATGAAACAACAGATTAAAACTTCCCCTCACCTTGTTCACCCTGAGCGCCCTGCTCTCCGTCGGGACCGGGCTCTCCCTGAGCTCCCTCTTCTCCGGGTACCCTGTCACCTGGGGGTGCTTGAAGGTTAGCGTGAGTAGCACCGCACAGTTACATGCGGCACATTCATCAGCTTCAGCAGGGTGACGGCAAGTGTGTTCCTCAGCTCACATTTATATCAGTGTGCGGATATGGTGGCTAGAAGTGCTGCTGAGAGGGGGAAGTGATGCACGTGCACCATCTCCACGCTCCTAGCAACATCTAGTGACTGTCCATCGAGACATGCAGCGGAAATTAAACAGCGTAAATTATTTAAATTGAGTTGGATAGCATATGTTTGATTACAAGAATCGATTGGAAGTCGGTTCTAAGCCACCCTAAGTTCAACACGAAATCTTAGCGAGATTAAAGCTATAGTGGAAAAATTTGAAGTTGGCGTTCGAGATCCTTGATTATCTGTGATTGAAATTTCGTTAAAATACGAAAGTAGGATGTATCGGACAGGTATTTCTAACCACTAACTTCAAATCGTTCCACTATTAACACGTAACAGCCGGTCAAACAGTAATATCCTCGGCTAACAGCTTTAATCAGATTATGTATCATGCTTTGAGTTTTGCTTAATAGAACAAATTGTAAAAACTTATTTTGTTCTTAAAATACTGCATAATTGAGCAGCTAGAAATATGCGGGGTTCGTTTATGATTTATTCGTTTGCATAGGATTTATATCTTGACAACGTTGAATATAACCAAGACCGCAAGATTGTAAAACTACCAAAATGCAAGGCCTGTGCAGAACAATGTCAGGGTGACCGTGCTAGCTTTTCAAATATTAATTGTTTTGACAAAAGCATGGAAATATGTTGAGGCCACTATAACAATGGCCTGGGTTCTCCAGAACTTCTTTCGCGGTGTGGGGTGGGTGGCTCGAACGGGAGGTGTATGGGTGTTTCTAACCTATGCTAAGGAAGGGACTAGCCATCTCTTATACAACAATTTGGTCTCGGATCGGACACTCAAAACAACAATAGAGGAACGGTCTACACGCTCACAGGCTACTATGTCTCGTGTAACCCCAGGATTTGACACGTTCACAGGCTACCACGTCTCGTGTAACCCCAGGATTTAACACGCTCACAGGCTACCACGTTTCGTGTAACCCTAGGATTTAACACGCTCACAGGCTACCACGTCTCGCGTAACCCTAGGACTCTAACACTTAACAGACTCTAACACGCTCACAGGCTTCCACGTCTCGTGTACCCTAGGATTTGGTTTTGGATCGGACACTCAAAACAACGATAGAGGAGCGGTCTACACGCTCACAGGCTACCATGTCTCGTGTAACCCCAGGATTTTACACGTTCACAGGCTACCACGCCTCGTGTACCCCCAAGATTTAACACGCTCACAGGCTAACACGTCTCGTGTACCCTAGGATTTGGTTTTGGATCGGACACTCAAAACAACGATACAGGGGCGGTATACAGTGACGTTACAGGAACATGGCATACTCCTACGAGTTGCACGTAGCAGGCCATGACCTCCCCTGGAAGTCCCTGTCTCTCCGTCGTTAACCCGGCGGGGTTGCACCAGGGGCGGTGGTAACAGGACTTCAAGACTCTCGGAGTCTGTTGTCGATATCTATGTTTAATATATTTATGATATATGATTTGGGAGTCTCTCTCTCCGGCAGCAGGAGTTGGAGAATGGGGACGCGTTGTGAAAGCCACCGTAAGGAAGGCTTACTGTCGACGCCGACCAATAAAAAGAAGAACAATGGCGCGGAATTAGATGAATTAATTTTTTGGAAATCCAAATTCTAACAGTATTGGATTACATCACCTCAACGATGGCTGACGATGGCACAATATTTAGAAGTAAGTGATATTGTATGGCAAGAAATCAGCAGCGTGAACAGAAATTTAGCGATATAATAAAATCTTCAATATTTCAGCGCAGCAGCTTCATGCAATCTAAAATGAGAAGTACGTACCGTACCCGGCTTAACGTACGTATGATAAAAGGTTTTTTTCCCTACTCTTGCCGAAGGCAAAAAGATCGTAGGGAATAAGTAATCGGGTTTGGATATATGAGGTGGCCCGACGGTCCTACGGTGATGACAAAAGTCTGCTCCTTCGCAATATAGACCACTCCCCTATAATTATGTGTATAAAAGGAGTCTATTTTGCGCGCGCGACGCTGGTTATGAGTTAATTAATTACAGGCATAGCAACCAGTTTTTGGTGCTTGACGACTGTTACAAACGGATCAATCATCAATATAGGTGTTATTTGTGTGAAACAATCTTAATAAATTACCGAGTGATAAAATTCAGCAAGTCAAAACAAATAAAATTATGATGTCAGCTGATAAACTCGTGGCTGTGGGCTGATTATTTAACAGTTAATCGACACTGAATGGTAGAAAGCATTGGAATACATAGTTGAGAACAAATGTTACTTCACAGTTACATTTAAGAAGCAACTATAATATCAAGATTGTGGTATTCTTTTAAAGAATCCTATATCAAATAAAAGGCTCGAAAGTCGATGGTGCTGTGATGTGTCGAGTAAGAATCAAAATGTATTAGTTTATGTTAGATACAAATAATAACTAAGACGAGACAGCATATTTTATTACAGTCAATAAGGTGGCATACGATGCAGTAATATGACGTGACATGATACGCATATCGTTATTGTTAACACGAAACAAAACCGCGCAAAGTATGAAATGATCTACAACCAAACCACATACAGATCGACGGCGACACCTCAGATGCGCGCAGGATTTTTCAAGTTCTGCACGCCTAATATAATATAAACGTTTATTACATTGTACATGCGCCAAACACCACTCTGGGATACAATAAAGTAGAACAATTAAATTGTATGCAGTAGCTCAGTAGGGAAATTTGATCGTGCGTGGTGTTACCGCGGCGAAATTCTTGTTTATTAGTACATACCGTACAACCTCTTTAAAGTACGACATTTTGTATGTAGTGTCTAATCTAACTCCACCATTATCTAATTATCTAATTATCTAATTATCTAATTATCTAATTATTTAATTATCTAATTTTCTAATTTTCTAATTATCTAATCATCTAATCTAGATCCTCAATTATCCGAACTCAGATCAGCTCTCCTGAGAAATCTCGGTCTCCTGATCATCAGAGGACATGTTTTTAGCAGACCGAGATCTATCAAGGAAGCCACGTACTAGGTTCGGATGAAAAAGGCACTTCAGTGATACCGATACTGATAGTATAATATCACCATAATTTAAACATTATAACATGCAACAGACTGATTGTTTCACTGCAGTTTGATAGAGTGTACTGCAGAAATGTCAGCTAACAGGTTGCCATGGTAATACCATGGCATGGTATACAAAACAGCTCAACAGGTGGAATTCAGCTAACATTAACACATTGAAACGTTAAAATAGTGTTGATAGCGCGCATGCTATTGCTATATCAGCAATGGCGAACTTAGAAACATATAAAATAGTAAATGTTACTAAAGTAGTAACATATTTTATAGATCGGAATGAAGGCAATTATACTATTTATTATTACTGATACGTTTTGATACTTTATATCATTAGTACTACAGGAGATTGGATTAAATCCTTTGTACAAATTAAGGCCAGGCAACGGTGCGAGGCAAAACTTAGGTACACCTGCCTATCATGGAGAGCCATTTTAACATTAAGGAATTAATCATTAATTATAAATGTTGGGTCTCTAATCAAGTGTGCTCAATCAATGAGTTCTAGATTAACAAATTGTATATTAAAGCGTAGAGTGTTACCAGGTTATGTTAATATGGTAGCACTACCATATAAGGTAATGTTAACATGGTAACACTACCATAATAATAAGATAATGTATATCAGAGCGTAGGATAAAAAGTGTTACCAGGTTCTCCTTTGGGTCCAGGTTCTCCTTGATCTCCGGTGGGACCATCGACTCCATCAACTCCATCAACTCCATCAACTCCTGCAGGTCCTTTTTCACCCTCGGGTCCTTGTTCAGGTCCTTGTTCTCCCTGAGTTTAAATGGGGTGCAAATAGTTTCACTTGCTAATATCGTTCAAATCCTACGGACGCGTTTACACTCTAACACTCCACTTTAAATCG